TCCTGCGCTGCCGTGGAGACGAGCACTATGCTACTGCATGCTTGCCGCCGCTAGCGCTAGACCTGCGTGTGGCGGCAACACACTTAATGGCGCAAGGACAGATCGAGAAGAATCTGCATCGGCACACGGGCACGTGCACTGAACGTGGCGGCGCTCCAACGGACGAGGCCTGCAGGCTGGGCTGGCCGCGGCACGAGATCCGGGAGAGCGAAGTCCTGCCAAACAGCCGCGGCATCCTGCTCAAGTGTGTGGGTGCACACCTAGTCAACTGCACCCCCGCGCTCATGCTGGTGCAGCCGTGCAACCACTTCGTTTACCCATGGTGGAAGTCAGCAGATGCCTGCACCAGCTGGAGCTGTGGCAGAACGCGCACCCTGACACGCCGTCCACTGATCCCTCGGCGCCGCTGCTGCCGGATCAGGATGCGCTCGCTTCCAACGTCGGCAATTACACGCTCAAGTACGGCACGAAGGAGGACAGCCTGGAAGCCAGTGCCCCGTACCTGGAGAGCACGGCCCTACTTCAAGAGCGGCTCGCTCGTCGGAAACATGAACATGAGAGCGGCCCGGTGCCCGGCAGCCCTGAAGACCTTGTGGGCTTCAACATCAGGCACGCATGCAACCAGGTACAGGCAGCCATTACACAGTCGGCAGTGGAGACGGCTCTCTGTGTGTCGGGCAGCCCATCCTTCGTGGAGTCGCACGACTTCTGCACGCAGGATTTGGGGCTCTTTGCCAATTTCGCGATGCAAGGGCGAGCTACCGTGGACGTGGCAGCCGTGTCGCCTCGAGTTGCTCGCCCGCACCTGCTGACAGATCCCGATACAGCCACTCCGGCGGACACCGCCAGTAGCATCTTTGCACCCCCGCCCAGAGCCACACCCGCGCAAACGGCCGCTTGGGAGGCGCACGCCTGCGTGCCAGCTCCCGTGTTCGATTATCTCTATCGCGGCAATGCTGTTCAGCACCTGGCACCCATCATTCTCAACATGTGGTGCTACCTGGTAAGTCGTATGCTGTTTGGCGGGCAGCAAGACCACCCATTTTTGTTTGATGTATCAATATACCATTATGATGGCTCGCTTATCACCTCCCTCGTCTTCACAGGCCCACACCAGCAACACGGAGAGCGCCGCACTACACGACATGCGCCTGCATGCGTACCACCCGCAGTCGGAACACGACATCTGGCACCTGTACCGGCGGCTGCATATCGCGCAGCTCTTGTGCAATCCGCCTCTCCATCCGGTCACGGATACCAGCACTGCTGATAAGGAGATCTACGCAGTGTACGTGCTGGCTAACTTCTGGGTGTACGACCTCGAGCGCCCCCTTCCCAGCTACGGCGGGCTCTGGATGCACCTACAGGTGCACCTGGCAAAAGCCGCCATCCTCCCCGCTGGCGTGACCACTCTCCGCGCCCGCCAACTACACGTCCTGGTCAACTACGAGCGGCACATGGCCGATCGTGCAGCCACACGCAATCGCAGCCACGCCCGACAGGAACGCCGGCAAGCAGCAACAGACGCCAACGATGCAACCGCGGCGGCAGCGGCCCTCCTGCAGCACGACCCGCGACATGCAGCCGATAACCCCAACGGCACGGTTGAGGCGGACGCAGACGCGCTGCTGGAGGGCGTGTACGGTGCCGTTGAGGAAGGCGATTTCGATGAAGCGGCAATCCTACAGCAGGCAGCGGAGACGACCCGCCAAGACATTGGGGTACGTACGAACTGCAGCCATACGTCATCCCCTGTCGTTCTACTGCATTGCAATTTCCGGTCGCTGCAATGCGCCGTGACAATTTCCTGTCGTTGCAATGCGCCGTAATTTCCTGTCATTGCAATGTGCAGCCGCTTGCGGTGTATACGACAACCTTGGGTAGCATACACTGACTATCCGTTGCATCTGCCCTCTCTCACACCACTTCCAATTTTGCTCCAACATCGAACCCCCCCGCAGGCGTGTCAAACCTGTAACCCATTATGATGCACGTTACAGGCAATTCTAGCCAACATGCGGTCAGTCACGTCCTCACAACAACAGCAGCAGCCGGAAACCACATTTCTCGGGAGCCACGGTGCACCGGTCGACACTCGAACGGACGCTTACTTGCGCCCGGCCCTCTGCACCCTTACTGAGGCCGCGACAGGCACCGCCCTCCCAGCAACCCAGCTTCAGCCATTGCCCTCTGTCCGCGCGGCGGCCGACCTCACCTTTGATGTACCGGTACGTGTGCTCAGCCAGCAACTTGCTACATTGAAGCAGGCGGCTGCCTCAGCCGCGGTTGCCCCCGCCGACACGGGGGAGCCGGCGCCGGAGCGGCTCACACTGCACCACGATACACGAACAGGCGACCTCCAGCTGCAACTGCACATATTTCCGCCCGACACATTGGGTGGTGACCAGCAAGTCCGTGCCATCTATCGCACCTACGGAAGAGCCACCGTACGTGCCGGTCGACCAGCTACCGTCACCCGAGGACACGGCCCGCATCTTCCCACTGGACGATGAGCAGCATCCACCGTTTCTGAAGTTCGCATACACATTTATCGCAGAGGCCCGCGGCCGCAGCGACCTCCTACCGCCGCCATTGCTTGGACTAATTCCCGGCCCGGCTGGAGCTGGAAAAAGCCACTGCATCACTGTGTTGGAATGGTTCATGTTTCAGCACAGCCTCAGTGATATGATCGCCATCAGCAGCTACACGTGGTGAGGCACCCTACAGGTACGGACTCTTGCAATCCACTAATGTTCCTCTATAAATAACCACACCTACCTCGCCATTCCCTAGGTGCACTACCCGCATCCACAACCGTACACACGTTTCACCCTCACCTTGAAGATCCTTTCTTTCACACCGCCGCCGTACCTCCCTCCACAGATCACCACCCCCAGCAACACCGGCATGTCCACGACCACACTGTTCGGTCTTGGTGATCGAAAGCGCCACGGCGAGCTCACGGGGGAGCAGAAGTGGAAACTGCAGAAACGCCTATGTGGAGTGCACCTCCTCATCATTGAACGAGGACGGCCTCAAGCACCGGCTTTTGGCTGCCATCGCCACTGCTACTGGCTCGCCGGACACTCGAAAGCTCACAGAGGCATCAGCAGGCCACCGTGTTTACCGGCAATTCAGGGAAGTGTACCCCCTCACTCGGCAGTACCGGCTGGATAAGGACGAGCAGCACCGACAAAACGTCATGCTGTTTGATGGTCGTACGGATGCAGATCCCACCGCCGTCCGCAACCTACTCGAGGACCTGCAAGCTCACACAATGACGGATCTGCCAGCTCGCCTCACCCGTGCGGTCATTCTGCACCACTGAGTGCAGGTCGGCGCCAACCGGCTACTGGCCCTACACCACTCCCGGTTTACAGGCCAACATATCTTCATCTGGCGGTCCGTCGACGTTCTCAGCAGCATGCAGCAGCCGCCCCCGCCCGAGCTAGCAGCACAGTTAGACAACGATTCGTACAACAACACCGGCGACATCCCAACCATCAACTTCTTCTTCCCGGGCTGCCTCTACGTCTTCGGCAGCAGCGACACACCCGCCCTGCACATCATCGCAAACAACACCGCAACGGGCGTGGGCATCATCCCCGCTGCACAAGACGCAGAAGCACTGCTGCGAACGAGCACCGCCGGACTGCCGCCTTCACGTCCTCAGCTGCCCGCCTGACGCACTCATCGTACGCCCCGAAGGAGCCCCACTACCCAGGACTTTCCAGCACCCCAGCATCCCGGAGGGTTGTGTTCCGGTATTTCCTATCACACGGAAGTTCCCCTACCCGCCACACAGCAGGGGACGCGCCGCTGGAGCTGCACAGCACCGGCTGGAATGCTTTGGTTACGAACTGCAGGATGCATATGCCAACGGACTTCCTTACGCAAGGTATGACTTTCAGCACCACAAACACGCAATGGGCAGCGCACCTGACGCCACCGCCGGACGGCAACATGCACCACGCCTCCCTGTACGTGGTGCTATCACGCTTCTCAACACGCGAAGACATTCGGTTGCTAGCGCCGCTCTGGCGACCCGGCGCCAGCCAAGACGAGAAGGAGGCCGTCGTGCGAACGTTCGTCAAGCTAGCCAAGCGCGTACCCACAATAGCAGCTGAAATAGCACGACTAGAGACGCTAGCAGAGGAAACCCGTGCGAGCTTTCCAGCCGTTTTACAGGGCCTGCAAATCACCGCTGGTATCGTGCCGCACGCGCCCGTGTAGTAAATTCAGGGCTAACTGGCAAACAGCAACTCTCATTTGAATGCATTGCATGCAATGGCCGCTGTCGCATTCCCGCATCACGCCTGATGCTGCGTCGCATGCCGATATGCATGGATGTGTGGAACCGCCCGTGGTCATTTCGCTCGCATGAACGCACGCGATGCACTTGTACTGCCATGAACTGTGTGTATGTGTGCACGACCATCGCGCAATCCGTGTGTATGTCTCTACGTGTATATCTGCGTATTATTATTATTGTTACACCGAGCACGCTCTGGCGTGGTTTAAGGGGACGGGGGCCTGCCGCCGGGACTCTGGCATTTGCTTTATATAGTGAGCCGACCAGCCGCCACCAGTTGTGGTCCAATCCGCACGACACCTGTACGACGATCCACGACACTATCGCAGTCGTTCTCCTCGCCCCATTATCGCTGGGGAACACGGCCAGGTAGTGCTAGTAGCCGGAGCCTGGCCCTCCTGATCACACCTCAACAGCCACCTCGCTAGTACCGACTACCAAGTAGCCTGGGAATTGCCCGCTCATGCTTCGAACTTGGCCTTCGACTCCATCTCCAGCTCCGGAGCTCCACCTCGGGAACCTTGATGCTCGTAGCTACCGCCTTCATCTTGAGTGGTAGGCTTCCTCCTCCCAGGGGTACGGTCCCGCCCAGTAGCTCCGATTAACTACATCTACCGTCTTCGTCAACTGCCCCCGTCAACGACACCGGTTGGTTAGCTGCCATCCAACCTTCTACACCCTGGCCAACTGTCAGCGGTGGGATTCGAACCCACATCCACCCATTGACAATCCGACCAAGCATGGGATCGAACCCATGACCATCGAAATGCCAAGCGAGTGCTCTTCCAATTTAGCTACGCTGACTATACGTATATCTGCGTATGTGTGTACAACCATCGTGCAATCCAAAACGAAACACCTCCATTCTCGTATTATCCGTACATTTGCCTACAACTGGCGCACCTGTGACCATACACCGTCCCTTGAAGCGTGGAGTGTGGGGCGTGGGACGTGAAGTGTACAGCGTGGAGCGTGGGGTGTGAGGAGTGATACCTGAGGAGAAGAAAGCGTGTGGGGCAAGAGGGGCGAGAGAGAGGGGAACTGCCAAGTACCGCCGGGCCGACTGGAAATGATAGTAGCTACCTTTAACCGGGTAGGGTCTTTCCGCTTGATACGTTGGGTGGTGGCCAGCATATCCACACCATCGCACCAACGGAAGCTCCACCGTACGGTGCCGTGGCGTCCGTAGAATGCCGTCAAATGCCGTGGCGTGCCGTAGAATGCCATACCATGGGGTCTGTTTCCCTCGTGCGTGAAGCGTGGGCCATGGAACGTGGGGCGTGTGTGAAGCGTGTTGCCATGGGGTGCATTGCCGTAGGGCGTGCTGTGTGGGCCATGGGACGTGAGGGCCTGTTGCCGTGGATCGTTGGGCCACGGAGCCGTGGCCCGTCTTCCCGTGCGGCGACCCGTGCAACCTGTCGACCCATGCGGCATAGAGCGTGGACCCGTGGGGCGTCAGGCACCTGAGTGTGGAACGGGGAGTGTGGATCCGCCGGACATCAAACGTGCAGCGCCTAAGATAACAATAAGATAATAAGATACAAATGCTGCCGCAACGAAACCTTTGCTGTGGGTGCTTTTGACCGACTCAAGGAAACACCTCGGGCGGATTCTTGCCGCCACTCACAACGGCCGGATTGTTTTTTTATATGCCTGCTGCGTTGTTTCGTGTTGTTACGCCTGCTGCGTACGCCCCGTGGACAGGGTGTTGTCGCTTCCCTATTCCGCCCCGGAACAGAATTTACATAACAAGCGCATCGCATTACAAGCACATCCACAGTGCATGCAACGAATCAGTTTACTGACCCATGGGTCTGCTGAGCCGCGACCTTTTCATATCTCACGTACCACGCACGCAAGCACAGCGGCTCATCACTCTATACGCAAAAAAGCCGCATGTGAAATGTGCAGCTGCGCGGCAGCATGGCGCGTCCTGTAACAGGCATCGTGTGTTTACTGACCCATTGCGAGTTTTCCAACACACAATGACTGACTGGCGAAATGGATATACGAACAATGACACACAATGACTGACTGGCGAAATGGATATACGAACAATGACACACAATGACTGACTGGCGAAATGGATATACGAACAATGACACACAATGACTGACTGGCGAAATGGATATACGAACAATGACACACAATGACTGACTGGCGAAATGGATATACGAACAACCACTCTGCGCTTGTATAAAACCCCACCGGCCGCCAGCAGTGCTCGAACCTCTGCCGCTATTATATTCCTAGACTGCTACTGCCTTGTTCGCACTCTATAACCGCTCATAGCTATGGACGCGGCAGCGGCCTCACCCGCCTCGCATGCCGGACAGAAGCACGTTCGGATTCTAGAGGCCTCGCCGCCAAGAAACAAACAGCACTTGGCGACTGGAAGGAACGCGCAATTGCAAGCTACTAGCGGAGTCATCACCTCGCTCACAATGCCCCTAGCACAGATAACCCACAACGCACTTAATGCATACGCCGCAAGCATGCAGCAGCTGCACTCGTTCCGAGCTGCTTAAAACACGACCCATCAAACTACGCAGCAAGCAAGCCCGCCGTTCCGACTACAATACAATTACACAGCGTCTCTACCCATACCACGTTTTCCATGCTTCCCAGCTCCCTAGCACCAGCCTTTCCTTCCCAACTTGTTGCATTGCCACCCACCTGCAACCCACAGGGCCTCCCCATCGTCACTCCAAACATCACCATGCTCAGCCCGGTGGACGCTCTAGGCCAGTTCCACACCGTGTTCATCCTGGTCGCCGAACGCATGGACCTGACCGGCGCCCTCGATCCCGACATGGCATACCAGCCAGGTATGGCAATCATGAAAGACATCCACGGGCACTTCGCCACTGACGACATCGGCTACACCATCAAGGTACGTGCCTCTGTTCCACCCACCCTGCTACAGCCTGCGAGGGGCCGCCCAGCAATAGCACGTGCAAAGTGTGGTTGTAGAGACCGGTGAGGTTGATAATGCTGGGGGCCTTCTCAAAGACGATGCAGAGGATATCGTGTGGAGGGCGTTGCCCATGTCCGCGGTGCAGACGCCGGCGTGGACGCTTCCGCCGTAGTACGGGTGGCCGCTAATGGCGTAACGGCTTGAACGGAACACGTAGTACAGCCGGTCGCGCGTGGCTGGCACATAGGCAAGGGTGGGAAGGGGCGCACGGTTACAGGTGACCGAGTGGGGAGTGGAATCACAGGTTGAATGGGAGATAGAACAGGGGCGATACGGGGTGGAGGAGCGGAGAAAGGAGGCAAACATGTTCGGTGCATCGTCCGGTGTATTTTGTGTACTGTACGGCTCGTAGAGGGCCCGGCGCTGTTGTACTACGTGTTCCATTCAAGCCGATACACCATTAGCAGCCACGCGTACTACGGCGGAAGCGTCCACACCGGCGTCTGCACCGCGGACATGGGCAACACCCTCCACGACATCCTCTGCATCGTCTTTGAGAAGGCCCCCAGCATTATCAACCTCACCGGCCTCTACAACCACACTTTGCACGTGCTATTGCTGGGCGGCCCCTCGCAGGCTGTAGCAGGGTGGGTGGAACAGAGGCACGTACCTTGAGGGTGTAGCCGCTGTCGTCAGTGGCGAAGTGCCCGTGGATGTCTTTCATGATTGCGAAACCTGGCATATCGTATGCCATGTCGGGATCGAGGGCGCCGGTCAGGTCCATGCGTTCGGCGACCAGGATGAACGCGGTGTGGAACTGGCCTGGAGCATCCACCGGGCTGAGCATGGTGATGTTTGGAGTGACGACGGGGAGGCTCTGTGGGTTGCAGGTGGGTGGCAATGCAACAAGTTGGGAAGGAAAGGCTGGTGCTAGGGAGCTGGGAAGCATGGAAAACGTGGTATGGGTAGAGACGCTGTGTAATTGTATTGTAGTCGGAACGGCGGGCTTGCTTGCGGTGTAGTTTGATGGGTCGTGTTTCAAGCAGCTCAGAACGGAAGATTTACCTGGTCGGCGGGCTCCGGGTTGTCATCGTCGGCGGCCTGCTCTTCCAACTGGAACGTACTGTGCTCGTTTAGGATGCGGTAGTCGTGGGGGCCGGGATCAGCGAGTTGTGGCGGCGTGCTGGGCACGACCTGTACGGTTGCGTGTCGGCCGACTAGGCGCGTATCGAGGAAGGGTGTGATGGCGTTGCCGTTGAAGATGGAAACCGTGGTGATAATGCCGTCGTCGGAAATGATAGTCATCTGCCCGATGCACAGCTGCTGTGTGCTTGCGGCGTATGCATCCAGTGCGTTGTGGGTTATCTGTGCTAGGGGCATTGTGAGCGAGGTGATGATTCCGCTAATAGCTTGCAATGGCGCGTTCCTTCCAGTCGCCGAGCGCTGTTTGTTGCTTGGCGGTGAGGCCTCTAGAATCCGAACGTGCTTCTGTCCGGCGTGTGAGGTGGGTGAGGCCGCTGCCGCATCCATAACTATGAGCGGTTATAGAGTGCGAAGAAGGCAGTAGCAGTCTAGGAATATAACAGCGGCAGAGGTTCGAGCACTGTTGGCGGCCGGTGGGGTTTTATACGAGCGCGGAATGGTTGTTCGTATATCCCGATGCCCAGCGCCACCCATTCCCGGCCCGCCCTGCGCGTTCGGGCATGCGCCTTCGCTCCTCGGCCCGGGCCGGAGGCCCCCACGTATGAAGGAGCGCAGAGCCGGCGCAGACCGTTCTCAGATTAGTAGTTGGGTTGGCCGCTTAGGTGAATCAGTTTGGGAGGGTCGTCCGTACTGCGGCTGGTTCCGGAGCGTTGGCTCTGCAGGCGACGGACTGTTTGCCGGTAGAGCTTTCTCCGCACGTAAAAAATAAAGGCGTGCTTCCTCGGCATGTGAGCTTAGAGGTGCGCTTTCTCCGCGCGTTAAGAATAGAGGCGCGCTTCCTCGGCGTGTGAGCTTAGAGGCGTCCCTCCTCGGGGTTGTGAACTTAGAGGTGTGCTTCCTCGGCGTGAGAGCTTAGAGGCGCCCCTCCTCGGGGTTGTGAACTTAGAGGCACGCTTCCTCGGCGTGTGAGCATAGAGGCGTCCCTCCTCGGGGTTGTGAACTTAGAGGTGCACTTCCTCGGCGTGTGAGCTTAGAGGCGCCCCTCCTCGGGGTTGTGAACTTAGAGGCGCGCTTCCTCGGCGTGTGAGCATAGAGGCGTCCCTCCTCGGGGTTGTGAACTTAGAGGTGTGCTTCCTCGGCATGTGAGCATAGAGGCGTCCCTCCTCGGGGTTGTGAACTTAGAGGCGCGCTTCCTCGGCGTGTGAGCATAGAGGCGTCCCTCCTCGGCGTGTGAGCTCAGAGGCACGCGTCCTCGCGTGGCGTGCGACCATTGAGGCACCCCTTCCGGGGGTGGTAAGATCGCACCACGCTCTCTCCGCGCGTAAAAAATAGAGGCGTGCTTCCTCGGCGTGTGAGCTTAGAGGTGCGCTTTCTCCGCGCGTTAAGAATAGAGGTGTGCTTCCTCGGCGTGTGAGCATAGAGGCGTCCCTCCTCGGGGTTGTGAACTTAGAGGTGCGCTTCCTCGGCGTGTGAGCTTAGAGGCGCCCCTCCTCGGGGTTGTGAACTTAGAGGCGCGCTTCCTCGGCGTGTGAGCATAGAGGCGTCCCTCCTCGGGGTTGTGACCTTAGAGGTGCGCTTCCTCGGCGTGTGAGCATAGAGGCGTCCCTCCTCGGGGTTGTGAACTTCGAGGCGTGCTTCCTCGGCGTGTGAGCATAGAGGCGTCCCTCCTCGGCGTGCGAGCTCAGAGGCACGCGTCCTCGGCGTGGCGTGCGACCATTGAGGCACCCCTTCCGGGGGTGGTAAG